TATATATATATATATATATATATATATATATATATATATATATATATATATAGACACACACACACAAAAAATGATTGATTTCTTTCCGAATGTAGGACACACTGAAATCAAGTCCTCCAGAAAACAAAGTCATGAAAACGGCTACAACCATTGGAATATCAGCTTCTACATCCTTTTACATGCTATGTGGGCTACTTGGATACGCTGCATTTGGCAACGACGCGCCTGGAAATTACTTGACTGGGTTTGGTTACTACGACCCTTTTTGGCTCATTGACATTGGTAACTTGTGCATTGTTATTCACCTTCTTGGAGCTTATCAGGTGCCTAATCTACTTCTCTTGATTAGCATATTATGTCAAGAGAAAATTGACATTTTTCAAAATATTCATTCTTTGTGACGTTTTGTAGGTGATAGTCCAACCTTTTTTTTTGCATTTGTGGAGAATTGGACTCGTAGAAAATGGCCAGAAAGTGAGTTCGTGAACAAGGGATACATCATTGGTTGCTTTAGGATTAATCCTTTCAGGTTAGTCTGGAGGACTACCTACGTGATACTAGCAACGCTGGTTGCCATGATTTTCCCATTCTTTAATGATTTTCTAGCGCTTATTGGCTCAACGACATTCTGGCCATTGTCGGTGTATTTCCCAATAGAAATGTACATTTCTCAGGCGAAGGTTCGGCGGAATTCTTTCACCTGGATTTGGTTGAAGGTACTCAGTTTCGTGTGCTTGCTTGTATCACTTCTTGCTGCTATTGGATCTATTCGAGGCCTTGTAATGTCAGTTAAGACCTTCAAGCTCTTTCGATCAGCATCTTAATTAGGTCTTAGTTCTTTTTTTGTGCCTTGGTAGTTTAAGAATAATGATATAACATGGTTTAACCAAAGGTTTAGAATCATGTATTATATTTCTATAACTTCAACGTGCAACTGGAATCATATCATTATATGGAAAAACATAGATAAGTAAAAGAGCAAACTGCAGCTGTTTGCCTGTTTATTGGGATTTTGGTTCCTATGGTTCCAAAATAAAAAATTTCGTCCTTATTAGCAGTTTTCATTTGTGACTTTGGCTACTAAATATGAACCCGATATCTTCCGTTTGCTCGCCTCCAGCTGCCCGACGTGAGGAAATTTCAATAATTTTACTTAGTTATTTTAATTACTATGTTACAAACTGTGAAAAATATTTTTAAATTTTTATTAAATTAATAAAATTGAAGTTTTTTTTAAACTTTTGTATTAATCGTTTAAAATTAATGTATCTTCTTATTTGAATATCGGATATATGTTATGTATGTAAAGACATTTAATATAATTATTAAGTGTGAGACTCGTGTACTAGACGAGATGATTAAAATATTTTAATAGGAAAGTGTAAACATTAATCGCCTTTTAAAGTAATATTTTAAAATAATACAAACAAAATGATGAATAAATAAGTAATTCCTTTTATACTAATAGAAAAAACTATTGACATATTTTAAATAATTGTGTTGTATATCAAAGTATAACATTAAGTATTTTTTAAAGTAAAATTTCGAAATAAATACAAACAAAATAATGAATAAGTAGGTAATTAAATCTATACTAATAAAAAAACTATTTACCGTCAATAATATTGTTACATAACTGATATTGAACTCAATCAATACAGTGTTACAGCTTCAAGAAAAATATGCCCTTGTTTTCTTTGCACAAGATATTGTTGGTCAGTTATACTGTTAGATAATTGATATTTAATGAAAAGGTTTTTCATTCACATTTCTGATCATGTGTCAATAACAGTGACGGAACATAGAAGGGTCAGGTGTTGCCATAGACCCACTGCTTTTTTTTAGCTAGTTAATACCAACCAACCATTATAGAATCATTAAAATACAAATTATCTAAAAAAGGTACCTGTCCATCCATACTTTTATCTGCTAAATACATGTAATTATATAGTATGGCATATTAGATTGAAAACTAATTCAACTTGAGATGTTATCAAATCAAAAACTAACTTTACTTGAAAAACTCAATAATTAACTTTAGAAATTAGCAAAAAACCAATTATTAACCTCAAATATTAAAAGAACAGAAAACCCTAAATGCCATCAGCGACAATGACACCATTCAAATCACTGGAATCCGACTGAAACCAAAAGATTTCGGCTAAACTCTCTCTCTCTCTCTCTCTCTCTCTCTCTCTCTCTCTCTCTCTCTCTCTCACTCATCGCTGGAGCGAATTTCCGACAATAATAATGTGTTTGTTGTGCATTCTCTCATCTCCGCCAAAGTCAAGATACAACTCACCATATTCTCTCTTTTTGTGATACTCTCGACTGTAACTTTGTATGTATAAATATTAATGGTGATAAGCCTTGGTAAGTAATTAAAATAAAACTTTGAAACAAATAACGTAGCTGTGTATGTGTGTATGTATAGGACTCTAGGTATTAAAGTTTCATAAGTAAATAAAAAGTAAGATAACATATCTAAATGTTATTTTTTAGACGTCAATAATCAGTATACTACAAATTACAAACTAAAACATAATTGATTCTTCATTTATTTTTAACAGACCATATTTAATATATTAGCATTAGTTCAATTATTTAATTTTAAGCATCTATATTTAGTTATTTACAAATTGCAAACTAAAATATATTTAGAATTGGGAAGACGTATTTATTGTTTTTTATTTTGTTATTTATCAATGTTTGCTATATTTTCATATTTTTCTAAATAGTTATATGTTAATTTTGTTTATGTCATTTTATAAAAATAAAATGGGATGAATAAGTAATGGTTTATTTTCTTTTATCAAATTGGTGTACACAAACATTTGTTTCTTTTACGTACACTCAATAAACGACAGAATATGAGTAAATTATCATTTTACTTAAATTTTAAAAACAAATTCTTAATATTTAAATTACAATCATTCATTCATAAATAAACAATGTTTAATAAATTAGATATGATATAAGAAAAAATTAGTCCATAATCCATTAATATATGTTTAGGTAAAATATATCAAAGTTGATCAAACACGTTAACGGGTAGCAAATGCAATAGACAAAAGAAAAAAAAAAATCCTAAAGATCAAAGTTGAGCACGAAAGATTCAACATGGGACAACCAAAACCTCATTAACAAAATCCAAAGTAAAAAAACAACAATTATGATCAAGAAATATGTTTAATGAATCAATATTGATACCTAAGTTACCTTGGTCAACTCATTTCTAACTCCACAACAAGAATTGGGAGTATTAGGGACGTCGCTTTTTGCGACGACAAGAGCAATAGCGGCGACACCAGAGTAGACGCGCTTGGTGTCGCCGCTAAAACATCACTGTCGTCGCTAATAGGTGTGTCGCTAAAGATAATCACCGTAGATCCGTCAGAGTCACGCTACTTTCAATCCAGACCCTTGGTTCGGCAAATAATCCAACGGATAGGGTTTGT